TAGTTCTGTACATTTTCCTTACTAACACCTTATAGAACAAGTTAATACTAGATTTACTTCCAGTAGAAGCTGGTCTCTTTTCTTCTTTATATTTCTTTTAAAAGCTTTTAGTTCTGTACATTTTCCTTACTAACACCTTATAGAACAAGTTAATACTAGATTTACTTCCAGTAGAAGCTGGTCTCTTTTCTTCTTTATATTTCTTTTAAAAGCTGCGACTTTAGCCTTTCTCTACCTGTTCTTGTTCTTCTGTTGGGTTTTCTAATAACAGAAGCAAATGATACAAAAAAAAGAAACTCCTCACCTAACAACGGAGTTAAGACCTCATGGACTCTCTCATGGGTTGGAACCCAATGTCATTGTTCTGCAAGTGGAAACCAAAAGGGGAATATTCCCCAAGATGGTATTATAATGAATACATCACGTTGACAGGACAGCATTGGGACACTTTTACTTGAAAAGATAGAACTCTTCACTAGGCCTTTAGGGAGAGGATTTGTCAACCAAAGGATGTTAGGGGAAGCAATTTTTGAAAAAGCACCATCTATTGGATAATATAACTGTTTTTTGGATAACTTTTGCCAGGGAAACCTTTGAGAAAGCTGAGGTGAAGAAGTTCCAATGCAGGACTATTCCCTCAAATGATGACCCACACTACAACTAGTCTTCAATATTGTTCCACAAATGGAAAGGAGAAATTATATCAAATAACAATGAGAGTGGTACTAGTACTAGCAGGTCTAAACAAAGCCCCAGGAAGACTGTTCACCAATGCAGTCAAAGGCTCAGACATGACAGTCCACAAATAGAAGTGGATAAAGTATATCTTCTTGGGTATAGCTAGATTTATAAAGAATAGCTGATAGGCTTATTATAGTGAACCTGCTGCCACCTTGACATAAAAATCTTAACTGTTGACAAATGGCAGCAATAATGAATTTGAATAAAATATGGATTGGTATTTAGCCCTAATAATTCTACAAATACCAGAAGGCTAAAATGCAATAGTTGGAGGACTCCTCTACCCATATTAAAATAGAAAGAGACCCAATAAATGTGTGGGAAGTTCACTGCTCATACTAATTCCATGCCATATAGTAATCTTGCTTCCATTTGGACAAATAGCTACCCTTTAAACAAGCCCATGGACACGATGGTCCTCCTTCCTAGAGAATGGCCTTTGCATCTTACAACATGGGCAACAACTGGGTAAGGCATAGTAGTAGTTACGACAGATTGGTGCATTCATATTGTGAAGAAATGATAAGTAGAAGTCAATCCACTCTGGTGAAAACCAGACTATACCCAATTTGTATAGAGTCCTAAGGTATATTATTAGCAAAAAGATTAAAAATATACTGAATACAGATAGCTTCAGAACTAACCAACATGACAGATGCTGCATCTAATCCTAAGTGAGGTCTACATACAGGGATAATTAGCTGCTTTTAAAGGTAAATGTGGGGGAAGTTAGAGATCCAATGTGGATAAGCAGTAGCAAGAGAAGCATAAGTTAGTTTTGCCACTGAATTTCAGGTTGAGTATACGTAACAAATTAAAGAAAAAGACTGCTGTATAAAAAAAAAAAACCACCACATATCTTTTTGAAAATGAGAGGAACTTAAGGGAGATACTCAAACATGTTATGATACTGTTCCACAATAGACTGCTACATGGAGTAGATGAGGATCCAGGACACTTAGACCAGTCCCAAAGACACAAAGAGGGGAAATAAAATTTCTATCACCAGGAAATTACTGTGGGTAATTACAAATCAGACCAGATAGCAGATTAAGGGACTTCACTGCTGTACTAATTAGACAAATCGAGCCTTACTTTCCTAGGGTAGGGGACTTTAGCTGTTGTGGTATGTCCAAAATGGCAAATAAGAGATGCGGTGCAAAGGCACTATATGAAATTAACTAAAATGTAGCACTGGGAAAGCAAGAAGAAACGGTTTATCCCACCATTCCATTTGGAGCAGTTTTATAAGGAGGACTAGTGATCAGAGTTAAACAAGGAAATCTGTACATGTAGCAACCAAGAAGAATCACAGAGGAATTGGATAAAAGTTAAAGGATAGAATCTATGCTTTAATTAAAGATTTGGAAACAGCTGGGAAAGATATATACTCTCCACTAGGAATTTGGACTTTAGGAAATTGGCTTTAATTTTGTGTCAGAATAAAACCCAGAGCAGGAGTACTTGGGCAAGATCAGGAAACATCCAAGGACAGACCATCAATCTGCTACAAATTCTATTCAGCAAGTATTTTCACTGTAAATGGACAGTTCTGGTGCTCCTCAAATATGATTGATAACCAACGGTAGCTATTCCTCTATGTAAAGCTCTGGAATATAGACTTTATAACAATTCCACAATGGATTAGTGTGAGCTCATTAAAACTGTTACTATTAGAGAATGCAAGCAAGCATACTAACTAAAGGTGACCATCAAAATACATCAAGAGAAATCTGTGGGACTACTCCAGACTTTGAAACAAGATAAAGCTTGAACCAGCCTATAATGCAACTAATACTCAACGTGGTCCTTATATATCAAAGCTGGAAGATGCTGCAAACTCGTAGTGTGTGAAGCTGGCTAGCCTTCTGGCTAGATGAGTCATGTGGAAAGATTGTACTACAGTAGCTCCTCAGAATTAGATAAAATATATTGTGATGTTTGCTTTGATTGTGTGATTACATGTGTTTAAGAACTGTTAAGATGTAAACCCACTCCAAACAGTGGGTTGTTGTATTAAGTATGATTAGAGTTGATAGTGATAAGAAGTAAGTGTAGGCAATAATAAAGTACTTAGGAATAAGAGCTAGTAAGGAAGTATTTTTATGAGAAAGTGATAAGTAAGTGTAGGCAATAATAAAATACTTAGGAATAAGAGCTAGTAAGGTAGTATTTTCAGGAGTGAGTGATAAGAAGTTAAGTGTAGGCAATAACAACATAGTTAAGAATAAGAGCTTATAAGGAAGTATTTTTGAGAGAAGAAAAGCAGTAAGTTGCATAGAATAGTCATGCAGCTATTTAGGGTGGAAAGCCATGGTATGAGTTAGTTCCTAAGCAGGTTTATGAACAAACCCCTGTTTTTATCATATGCAAATCAGCCAACCCTAAGTCTTTGACAGTGATAGAAATAGCTGATTGGCGATCAATAGACATAGGTCATGCACTTAAAATCTCAAGGAGATATATTACTTAATTTGGCAGTCCACCTTTGAATGCCTCTGATTGGAATCCTGGATTTCTCCTCCAGGAGAGTGGAGAGAATGGCCGGTCCTTTATTTAAACTAGCTGTTTTCTGAATCTTCTTAGACTGACACCAAAGCCAATTCTTGTATGGCGTGGAGGGATAGAGAGGGAGACAGGCTCATCATTCTGAGTCAAGCTTGAGAATGTGAAAACCAAGGTAGATAGGTTGGAGATGGCAATGAACTGGGAGGCATTAGTTTTCATCCTTGTGTGTTTTGGCTAACTTGCATGAGACGCTGCAACTATGTAATTGTATCCTTATGTGATGATTAATGCCAGTCATTAAATTAGAATTGAATATCATCTTTGTTACTGATCCACACTGTTTTATTGCTATGTGCTTTAACATATTTTAACTAATAAACTTTCATTCATAAATCAAAGAACTTGTGTTCATTTAAATTACCTGGTGGTGAATTTGGAGGTCCCAAATGAGCATAAAAGAATCCCACATGGCAGAAGATGGAGTACACTCAGAGACAGTATTGTACCAGGAGTTGAAAGTTCTACTTCTGGCTTTGTCCTATGATCCTGAACAAAACTCTGAAATATAGTCCTTTCTTGTTTTTAAAATGAGTTAAAATATTTTTTCTGCCTACCTTCAATGGTAATAAGGATGAAATACAGTGATAAAGTTTTCAAAGACTTTGGTATGGTATATCTGACAATGGGACGGTATAGGAAATCAGGACTTTTTAGAAATATCTGAAAAATGTCCATGTGATAAATCCCAAGGGTCTATGCGACACATAAAGATTATCTAGTAGTTTTATACCTGTTTTCTGAGAGATTAAGGCTTTCTTACTTAACTGCATATAAAAGTTATAGTTTGGAATCACCTTTTGTTTCATTCTTCTGAGCTCTCTCTTTTTTTAACCACGTGGACTCTTTTTGGGAGTCTATTCCAGTGCAAATAGGAATGATAATGAGGAAAAAACAACAATGAAAAAGATCTCCAGGAAACAGTAAATTATATTCCATTTCAGGCTAAGATTTTGTTCCTGAGGGGTTATGTAATTCTGAACACTGTTAACCCACTATTACCCAACTAGATTTCTACAATGATTTTTTTTTACATCAAACTTGACTATTGTATTCTTTTTCTAAAAAAGGATTTTATTTATTTATTTATTTGAGAGAGAGAGCAAGTGAGAGCGAGCAAGCACGAGTGGGGTGTGGGGGGCAGAGGGAGAGAGAGAAGTAGACTGCCTGCTGAGCGGGGAGCCTGACACAGGACCTTATCCCAGGACCCTGGGATCATGACTGGAACAAAAGGCAGATGCTTAACCAATTAAGCCACCCAGGCACCCCAACTATTGTGTTATTGTATTGATAGCCTTATTTCAATAGAGAGGTATTGAGCCATTGTATTGGGTTTATATTTATTTTTTCAAGGACCCTATTTCTCCAGTCCATATTTAAAACTTGTTTTTCTTCTGCCTATATATCCCTTAGCTCACAAGCCAGTTAGCCAACCAACTAACCAACCAACCAACAAAACATTAAAAAAAATTTAAAAAACTCTAGTTCTTCAGTTATTTGGGAGTTATTTGTATTGACAGATACAACTATCCATCAGTTTTAATGTCACATCTCTTCAGGGTAATAAAGAATCTTTGGAGGTGATCTCCATT